AAGCCCCTTTTCACTGGCTCCTCCTGCCTTCCACATCAGACTGATGCCCTGCTCCAGCCTCCCCACAGGACTCCCTCCTTCCATCTGCTCCCCATGTACCCCCTCCCCGCCCCCCAGGGGCCACTCCCACCTGGCACTCAGGGCTGGCCCACAACATTTTGGCACCTGAGGGGGGGAGCTCAAATGATGCCCCCATGGCCCCTCGCTTGGGCCAAACCTTTGAAAGGTTCAACTCTCTGGGTCCTCATGGCACCCCCCCAGTCTGGCACCTGAGGCGGCCCTGCTGGAACCCCTGCCCTCTCCCTCCCAAAGCGCAGCGGAAAAGGACCGTCCCGAGGAGGAAACGACGGGCCCTGCTGCGCCGTGCCACGCCCACTGCCGCTTTCCATGCCGAACCCCCGCGGCAGGGAGACGCCGGCCCTCGGGGGCATGGGAACGGCAAACACGTCTTAGAGGGGCCCAGCCGCAGGGCCCAGGGACTGCTCCCATCCCTGTGGGCAGTGTCGTAGCCAGGTCCCCCCCACAGCAGGGGAGAGACCGGGTGGGGGAGGGGATATCTTCTGTGGGACCAGCTTTCCCGCGGCACAGAGCTCCACTCGGGGCTGGGGACCAACGCGAGGGTCACAGCTCGGCGCCGGGAGGAACAGTCGGTTTCCCGTGAGGGGCTCCCGCAAACGGCAAGGGACCGCTCCTGGTGAAGGGCCGGCTGTCGCCCTCCCGTCGCCGAGGTGACGTAGTGGGCTGCGGGTTGTCGTAAGGACCCATAAACACAGCATTTCGGCCCAGGCCACGGCGTTCCGGGTCGCACAGAGCTGTGAATTTAAGAGCCCCGTCTTTGGAAGGGGCAGGGCAGGTTCCCTTTGAAGCTCAGGTCCAGGGCGATTGCTCTGTGAGACGTGCTCCCCACGGGGGACGGAAGGGTTTGTCGTTTTCCTGCACCTGTTGATCCGAGAGCGAACGTGCCGCACAGGCATGGAGTGGAAGTCGCAGCCGGGCATGCAGGATGCTGGCCTCCGACTGTGGCGTGCCACCGGGGAGCTCCCCATGAGCGGCTGGCGCCCGCGCCCCCCCCCTGGGGGA